TCAGGACCAATAACACTGTAAATCCTTTATTTGGATTTATCAAAAATCTCTAATTATTATTATTATTATTATTAGTGGCAATGATTTGTGCTGATATGAGTCACTAATGTCTTGCTACAGATTTTAATTTTTAATGGTCCTCGAGGACAGAAAAAAATTGAAGAATTTATTTAGTTTTTCAGTCGCAAAAAATTAATAACTCTTACAGAAATTGAATGCAATTTGGTTCCGTTAAACATTAACTGCTTCAATGAGCATAAGAGGATTTACGCCGAGTTTAATGTAATCAAAATTATCTGAGGCAGCTGATAAAATATCTGTTCGCTTTTTATATTTTTTGCATTCTCTGATATTGAATTAAGAAAAAAGAAAAAAAAAAAAAAAAAAAAGCAACCCCCAAAGGCAAGAAAAAAATCGGAAAATTCACCGCTGCCAATATTTACGATGACATTAAACTGTAGATAAACGCTTACAATATATACATAGTTTTAAATTCACAAAGTCTTCATAAGTATATCCTTGTGTTGAAATCAAATTTGTTATTTATAGAAACAGCATTAGTTGATGTTAATCTCAGGGGAAGATATATAGCAAAATTAGCGGAAGTGGTTTTGTTTTAAGTAGAAATAACATTGATACAATTCTATAATTGAGGTGAAAATCATTTAGGGGTTCAAAATAACAAACATCCGCTTGGCTCTATTTTGTGAGGCCACTGTGAACAACTTAAATAGTGAGGACACGTAGAGAGGAAGGACACATAGTGAAGAAGGAAATCTTGGAAAATTTAACACTGAAGGGGTACTTCAGCTTTGAAGACAAGACAAACAATGGAAAGCAGAAATTAAGCTATTTGAACAAACTGATAGAGGAACAAGTTTCACATTAACGAGCAAGCAATACTGAAAGAAATTAACGAAAGGAAGTTGTGGAGAACATGTCACAGAGTGAGAGAGAGATTTGGTTTTACAATCATATTTAGCTTGGTTAATTTAACAACATATCAAAACTTGTTTGGTTATTTATTATCGTATAGGTTCGCCTGTCGCCCGGTTTATACTCCTACCCAGTCTATTATTATTGTATTGTATTGATGCGGCATTCACCCTGGGCGGATTGAGCCGGCTTCTTCCTGTTGACTCATTCGTAGTCATGTGAGAAGAAGATTCTTGGGATAAATTACAGAAGTAGGGTACCCAGGCCGGCTCGAATAACGTTCTTGCTTGCACAGACGCAGAGACAGGGACAGGAACGACCAGAAGCCGCCGGTTACCGATGCAGACGCTCCTTGGATTTTTTCTAAGAGCAGGTTTGAAGTCAGAGTTTTTCCTTCTCCTAGACTAGTTGCCATCCAAGGCTATAGAACCCAGTCTGTCCTGCTATTTACCCATAGCTGGAGGGAGAAGAAGAGGATTCACACCTTTCCCAAGGGCGTTAGCACGTAAGTGAATGTAATGGATTCGACTGGAATTCGAACTCGGCTCTCCGATTTCTCAATCCAAGCCGCTATCCATTACTCCACCCAATCTATTGAATAGGAGTAGAGGTTTATCCCTTGTTTTCTGTTTAGGATTGGATTTCTGGTTCCTTCTAAATTCTGTTTCAACTCTATACTTCTAATGTATAAATTCGTATAAATTCTGAAATTTTTAATATTTATTGTTATTATTTCATTAATTTATTTATTTTTCCACAATAGGAGTAAATATGTTCGCATATCGTCCAGTTAACACTCCTCCCCCCTCTTTTGAACAGGAGCAGAGGTTTATCCTTTGTATTCTGTTTGGGTTAGGTTTCCGGTTCTCGCTAAAGTCTTTTCATTCTTTTTCACTCCCAGTAACCCCTTGCGTCTTAGTGACATTATAAACTGATTAAAAAAAGCAAGACAAAAAATCAAAATGAATTAATAGGTATATATATATCCGGGCTACACTCGAATAAAAAAAGAGACATCGACCTGGTTTGCAGGAGGTAGCACTGGCTGTTCGGACAATGAATGCCGAATGTTTCCTTCTAAGGAAACGGTTAATATTACCATTATTATTAATAATAATAATTACCATTCGCTTTCTGACCTTGTCACCCGGGTTCGAATCTTACTATGAACGATTTGTCAGGAAGCTGACTTTTTGATGTTATTGGAGGAAGCGATCCCAGCGTACGGTACCTTTGGAAAGTGCCTGAAAACCATACCACGGGAATGTGAGTGAAATTTTGTAGAGAGAATTCTTTGGGTAACCGTCGATGGTTGTGCTAGCATGAAGTCACAAGTCATCGTGACTGAGGGATTAAGCGTCTTATGCCACATCTAAGCTACGATTAGAGAATCATTTGGACACTTCGATGTGGTGCAATGGTTAGCAAGTTTGTCTCGCTAGATCACTTACGATTGAATTGTGAGTTCGATCCTCACTGTATGCTCCGCCCATTTGGCTTTATATCACATTTACGCTACGCTTACAGAATCATTCTGGGCACTTTGACGTGGTGAAATGGTTAGCAAGCTTGTCTCGCTAGATCGATTACGACTGGATGGTGAGTTAGATCATCACTGGATGCTCCATACTTTCAGCTTTGTGCCGCATCTAATCTACACTTACAGAATCGCCATACCCGAAAACGGTCGGAATCGTTGTGATAATGATAGCGAAGATGAAGAAATTAGTCAATTTATAATAGTAACACTACCGCATCGCAGAATTGCAAATACAAATTGTCATTAGACATAGGAAGTGGAATGAGAACAGTCTACCCCTTTAGATTAAGTAAAGTGTTAAATTCAAAATTCTCTGTGGGTTCGATATGAAGGCCAGAGAGCACGACGACAGAAACATTGTGATGGCAACAACACAAGATGATGATAATCGCCCGAAAGTAAATAGTGAAAATATTGATAATTCCTAATCCCAGAAATTAAAACAGAGATTATCTTGTCCTAGTAATGAATCAGTGGGATAAGGATAGCGAAGACGAAGAAATTAGTCAATTTATAATACAGTGTGACCCGGATATAAGTGACCCGGATATAAGAGAAACCCGGATATAAGAGAGATTTTCTCTGGTCCCAAAGTGTTCCCATACTTACCTAAACAAAATAGACCAAACCCGGATATAAGAGACTTCTTCTCCGGTCCCGACAACTTTCTTATATCCTGGTTACACTGTAGTAACAATACCGCATCTCAGAAATGGAAAGACAAATTGTCAGGCAAAAGTTTTCTACCTTCTCCTGGAAACGATCAGTCTATCCTTTGCAAAATCCAAATTCAGTGATTAAGGAAAAAAAATAACAAGCAAAAGAAAAAAAGAAAGAAAAGAAAAAGAAATAATCTAGGTCAAGGTCAAGCCGATGTTTAGTAGAAATTCAGGAAACGCGAACCATAAAAAGCAAATCATCATTAATTAGCATTAGTCTTCTTTGACGTTGAAGAAAATGTTTTAAATGTTGTTGAGATTTGGCGCCATAAAAATCTCCCCTACAAAGGCCAACAGCGGTCAATAGAACCCTAACTCATGTGACCAAAGGACACCATTAACTATGGTCAAGTATTCTTCTTGGAGACCTTGATGTTGGATTGGGTTTGTGTGTGTGGAGGGAAATCTCTTAATGACTACGTGGTCGTAGCGAGCAGTGTAGAGATTCATGTATAATAATAAAAACATACAAAAAAAAACAAACTTGTCCTCTTATCGAATCAGATAATTGGAAGCTGTAATTATTCAAACACCAAATTTAAAGAACTTAACAGTTACTAAAAAGATCCATGAGTCTTTTTGTTCAGTTATAAAACTTGATTTTTTTGACCATTCCACCCCAAGCAAGGTGATAATGCCACTAGGATGCAAGAGATTACTTGGAGTGGAAGAGAAGGAAAAGACTTTAGCGAGGAGAAAAGTTAATAAAAGAACAGGGTTCCAGAAATTGCATTTAAATTTGTGGAGATTTTAGGTGGCAGGGAAACAAGAAATTGGAATGGAAAGGCAAGAATAGAACATACGGTTGCATCTAGTAGTAAAATGGCGAGACCTAATTGCCAGTCTAGTAGCACGCTTACATTCATGCAGACGAGACACTAAGGTGAAAAGCTCACATGAGAAATTGCTATGAAAATTCTTGTAGGAAAGACAGGGAGAAGAAAGTGACTGAAATCTTGATGCCCGGCCAGGATCCATTACATTGCTGATTCTTTTTTGAATTTTGTTAATAATGTCGAGATAGCAAGAGAACCAGACCAAATATGACAGCAATATTCAACGCATGGATGAATTGTATATTTATAAATATGCCAGATGGATTCTGACGGGAAAAAAATTTCCGGCACTAATCTGTGAACTACTATTAAGGAAGCTGATAAACGAATGAGAAACCTATTAGAACTAAAAAAAAATAATATCAAGTCAACGATATATCTACTTATTTAGTTAAAATTTATTTTTGAATACTAAAATTCACAAAATAAGAGTCTCAAGAGTCACTCAAGGCAGAGAGTTATTGTTAAAACGATAATTATGAATGAGATGAGTAATACGAACGAAAAAGGAAGTGTACATTATAAAGATGTGAAGGATAGGTAACGATTGGTCATTGACCTGGAAAGGTTAAGATTCTAGTACTCAGGGTAGTAGGAGTCTGTTCCACAAAGTTATCGTTCTTGGGACAGAACTGTTAATTGCGGTTCTGGTCAAAAAGGTAAAAATACGCCCATTTTACACCAGAGCTAGTAAGGCAGATATACAGACTGATTTATTTTCTACGGCTTATCAACCCATTACAAGTTATTTAAAGCCACAACATATTTTTAGATAACAAGAATTTTTAAAAATAATTATGGTTTAGTGATACCAGGTTTATTAATTAACCCATAGCTTGTGGGAGAACAGGCGGATTCATATCTTTCCCAATAATATTTGCGCCTAAGTGAATATAACGGCAATTGAAACTCAACTCTTCGATTAAAAATTCCGAACCATTATTCATTACACCACCAGCACACCCAGTCTTACAGCACCTGATATTCCTAAACGGTCACCCATCTGTGTAATGACCAGGCTCGACGTTGCTTAACTTCGGTGATTATACGGGAACTGGAGTCTTAACGTGATGTGGCCATAAGCCAGGTAGGCATAGGTTCGATTTGCAATCGAGTCAAAATAGCAGACACAAGTCGTTTATACCTGAATCTATAAGTATCCACCCGAAAATTTGACCTTTTGGTGTGGTCTTACCCATATGTATGGGATACAGTCACCGTATTCTAACCCTCGGTAACAGTACAAAGAAAGTTAGGTGGGGGGCGCGTGGCCTTTTCGTGCATTTCGAAGTGGTCAAATGTTTCAATCTCTGATTCTCTCTCCAGCTAAAGTTTTAGAAAAAACAAGACCTATCAATTACAACCACAGAAATAAGAGTTGTATCGTTATGTGGCAGTCTAACCTGTGATTAATTACGATTTTCACTCGTGCGATTTTTCTTTTCCTTTTATAACATATATGACAAACTGACCGTGAAATAGGGGTGTTTTCATTAGCTTACCACTTGGTCGAACTTATCCTTGTCAATGGCAACTAAATGTGACTATATAAACGGTGGTAAAGTAGTATTCACTTCGGTACTTGATAAACACACGATCAGATCCTGGTCGTACCAACAAACATGGCAGCATATTGTGGAGAAGATGCTAATCATATTTATCCTAGTTGTTGATAGTGATGATCATAATTGGACTTTGTTGTTTTGAACTAGCTTCTCCGGGTTTCTTAGGTCTTGGATTTCTCAGGTATGTCCGGCTTAAACTTAAGTCAACAAAATATGCCTGATTTACACTAAAGTCAGTAAGGTTCGATTTACAGTCGAAACAAAAAGGTAGACACAGGTTTGGTTTATCTCAGTGTTTTTAAGTATACACTTTAACAAACTAGACTGTTGTCCCATGCCTAGTGGATTAACGTGTTCGTTCGTGAATTTGGTCACATTAATTGTAAGTTCAATCCTTGGGTCGGGCAGCGTGTATTTGGACATTTTTGGAAACGGGCGCGGAATAACTGAGCAGTACTAAAAATAAAAACTAGACAAGCTATTCCCAGATATGAGAAGTGGAATGAGAACAGTCTACCCCTTTAGATTAAGTAAAGTGTCAAATTCAAAATTCTCTGTAGGTTCGATGTGAAGGCCAGAGAGCACGACGACATTGTTATGACAACAACATTAGATGATGATAATCGCCCGAAAGTAAATAGCGCAGATATTGATAATTCCTAATCCCAGAAATTAAAACAGAGATTATCTTGTCCATAATTATAATTTAATTATATAATTACGTCTTTCATTATCTCCATTTAATGAATCCTCGTTAGAACCTAATTTGACCACCATTTTGGCTTTATAAATAAGTAAAAGATGTTGATGAAGAAACAGCTCTGTTCTACTCGATAGTCTTGGAGTAAGACGGAAAACCACCGGAAGTGCGGAATTTTAAATATTGCTGCTGGATTCGATGCATTAAACATCTTTGTTTATTGTTCTTAGCATAAAAAATATTTATATATTTAACTCTATCACATATAAATATACATCAGCCCACACATATGTACATTATTAAAAGCGTGTGACAATCTAAATGATTCTTAAACCATCTACTTGAGTGACGTAAGAATAAAAAGATTTTCTCTTCAAGTAGTTGTGACAAATGTTTCAATGAGAGCTCTTGAATGAATGTTAACTCATTTTCCCGCCCTTTTTGAAAAAAAAAATGATTGCATGAATGACGGTTGCTGCCATTTTTAGCGAGAACAAAATAAGGTAAATGATATCAGAATTTAAAAAAAAACGGTTTTCACGGTTTGGTTAAATGGTGACAAGTACAATGTAAACAGAATTAGAGTTAGAGACATGAATCTTTTCGCTTAAAAAAAACTTGAAAGAAATTGAAAATTTCATCAAAAAATCACGATGAAATAAAGGCGCTGAAAAAAAAAAAAAATGTATCATATTCACTGCTGCCAACGATATTTGAAACCTCATATCATCATTTTACGACACCTTTTAGAGTGAACACTTATTAGGTTCAGTCATAGTCTGTTTCGTTAATTTCCACTATATATATATTTTTATCTCCACCTTCCACAATGGGTTAAATAGCAGGGTAGACTACGCTAGATGCTATATATATATATATATATATATATATATATATATATATATATATATATATATATATATAATCGATTCTCTCGTCGAGATTCGACGTATGAGGGTCAAACAGATCAGTTTTCAGGAAAGAGATTTTGATTATAGTGGTGAAGGCCTCGTGCAGGACCATCCACACTTTTTGAAGGGACGAATACAGAGACCTGGTGCACCGAATGCCACAAGGTCCCCAAACGACCCTCCGCAAGTTTTGAATTCATGTCCTTTCTCCTAGACCAGTTGCCATCCAAGGCTATAGAACCCAGTCTGTCCTGCTATTTTACCCATAGCTAGAGGGAGAGAGGGTATATATATATATATATATACACGTTTCATTAAATAATATAGACAAGTGTTGTCTATTTATTTTATGTAAAATTTTTCCGTATCTTCTGATAAGTTTGGTAACATTATCATTAACCGAAAAAAGAAATTCACAATATTTATCCATTATTTATATATATATTTATCCATTATATTATATATATATATATATATATATATATATATATATATATATATATATATATATAACAGTAAGATGTATAATCCGGTGTTCTTATTGATATTTTTTATTTTATTTTTTTTACAAAACAGTGCTTAATGTAAATTTACAGAACATAAACATTATAAATTAACTGATTTAAAATATGGGTTTTTCGCTACACACTGATAACCATGTTTCAAAAACTGAAGCTAAAAACTTCAAATTTAATTATATAATTAAATTAAAAGCATTAGTTCCGTTTCATCTTCAAGCGAATATTGGAATAACTTATTTTTAAATTTACGGTGTTTTGAACGCACATATAAATTCATAATTTCCTGTTTCTGTGGATGACAATATATATATATATATATATATATATATATATATATATATATATATATAGTCATCCACAGACACAATTCTTCAGTGTGGCTAGACATCTGATTGGTTCAAGCCTGTGATCGAAACACGTCGATTTGATATCAATCTGATATCTTACCTCTAGGCCATCGTCGAAAGGAAGGAAGTTTTTCTTTATACGAAAGGATAAATAGAGTGCTAGCCAGTCTAGGAGAAAGACAAATCTGAATTTAAAGCCGTCGAGAAAACAACAGGAAAGCACTTCATTATCTTTCTCAAGAATTCACCAATCATAAAGAAAAAGAATCTTGGAGAGGCAAGATAACCTATGTCCTGGAATACTATGGCAGTAAAAATATAATTATAGTTTATTATGGCAAATAAAATTAAATATGTTAAAATATTCACTGTTACCATGGACATTTGAACCCTTACATAATGTAATTTTTGTATCAGACGTCGTAACAGACGTCGAAAAAATGGGACACAGAAATCAGAAGGCGCATTGGAATAGCTAAAGATGTCTTGCCTAAACTAAGCAAGGGAAAAGAGATGGGAAAATTTCATTAGAAACAAAGAAAAGAGTGGTACATTAATCTGTCTTATCTAATTTCCTGTTTGACATTGAATGCTAAAAATCTTTTCACAGATGAAGAAAAGACTTAAAGCAAAAAGAGATGTGCATGTTAGGAATATTGTAGACAGAATTTGTGAGCAACGAGGAAGTGATGAGGAAAATAGAAAACCTATACTATCAGAATTAGGCAGTTGAAATTTCTGGGTTGCATAAAGGAGAAAAGGTGCTTGGAGAATCTAACACTCCCAGGACACAAGAAAGACATGGCGTATAAAAAAGACATATGACTACTTATTTTGGCAAATAAAATTAAATTTATTAAGTTCAGCTTTAAATAATTTCAATTTTTGTTTATCAACATTATTCTTCACAAAAATAGAAAGCTGACAGTTACATGACGTTGAAACAGCAGTTTCGCACGATCACCGAAGGCAAGCAAAGCCGAGACTAGACAGTACCAAGATGGGTGACCACTTGGGAATACCAGCTTGGATGTACGGGTGGTTTGATAGATAATGGCACGGAATTGTTAATAACATAACCGTGTTCGAATTTCAGTCGGGTTCGTTGTATTTATTTACACGCAAATACACTTGGGAATAGTATGAAAGGTATTCCATTTAATCCTGCAGCTTCTGATGTGAAATAAATTGATAAAAATTAATTTTATTTACCAAAATAAGTAGTTATGTGTTTTCATGCCCACTGTCCTTTCACCTGTACATCCAACATAAGAACACCTGGTATTTCCAAGCGGTTACCGATCTAGGTATTTACCAGGCTCGACGTTGCTTAACTTCGGTGATCGTACAAGAACCGGTTCTTTATAACGCAATATGACCTTAAACCTCACAGATGAAGAAGTGACTTGAAGCACCAGAAATGTGGTTCTAAGAAGGCCGAAAATACAATGGACCGAACATGTGAGCAATGAGTTCTAAGGACAATGGAAAGAAAAGGACACATATTTAACATCACAAAGAGACAGTTGAAACTTATATGATATATAAAAAGGAAAGAGGGCTTGGAAAATTTGATACTCTCAAGGCAGATTGACGGCAAGTGGGGTAGAAGTAAATTGATGGCGAAACAAGGTTTATGAGAAATAGCAAAAAGACTGAGTGCTACAAAGGATAGGAAACTGTGGAGAACCATGATCGCCCACGTCCCGAAGGAACACGACACATAGAATAAGTGTGTTTGAAAGTTATTAACTGCCACCAATGATCAATACTTAGGATAATACATTCATCATTGCAATTGGTTCCCAAAAACGAAAATTACTTATGACTCAACCTAATATAAAGCTATGACTAATGGGGCTATTGTGTGTCCTTAGTATTGGCTTTTTCTTTTAACTATATAATACAACGTGGCACGTTTTTACTCATTTTTAAAACCATCACAGCACTACAAATAACGTTGTGAATGTTTTGATACCTATTCTTTTGTAAATCCACGACTCTTCATGACGTAGCTGATCATGGCTCTCCACAAACTCCTTTTCTTTATTATCTTTGAATTGCCATCAGTTTCTGGAGACAACAGTGGAGTGGATTCCTACTGCCTTCCTCACACATCTGGATTTATACTTCTCTTAAACCGGCTTCCTTCCAATGCTTCTGGATTATAGTCTACCATGCTATTTAACCCATAACTGAGGAACGAGAGCAGAGATTGATTCACGCTAAAGTGAGTCATTAATTGATTCGTTTTTTGTGGCTTATCAACTCTTTCTTATTTAAAGCCAGAAAATATTTGTAGATTGTAAGAATTTTTTTGTAGATAATAATGGTTTAGTGATATGTCTTACTAATTAACCCATAGTTGAAGGAGAGAAGAAGTGGATTCATACCATTCCTAAGGTTATTTGTGAGTAAGTGAAAGTAACGAACCCGACTGAAATTCCGATTTGTCATCACCTGCAAATTCAAGCTTACGGTGCCTTGCTATTCCCAAGCGGTTACTCATCTAGGTATTGACCAAGTTCGACGTGTCTTAACTTCGCTGTTCGTGCGGGAACCGGTTTTTCAACGTGATGCGGCCGTAAGCCTGCTAAAGAGAACGCACAAGACTAGGTGGGAATTAGAATTCGGCTCAACAATTACAATTTCCTTACCGATAACCGTTAGGCCAACCGCCTCATTCAGAGAAAAAAAATGCAGAAGCAATACTCTATATGGAACAAGACGCAAATGTGCGGCGGAAGTCAGTTATACGCCCTCGAAAGAGATAATCAATTCTGGAAAGGCAACGGATTAAACTTCCAGTCCTAATCCCTATTCTGCCAACCATTTACAAAGACACGTCAGGTAGGTTATGCGCTGCTTCTCAATCCTTCTTGCCTTCAATGGGGTGATGTGGTACAAAGCCGAAAGTATGGGAACCCAGTGAGGATCGAACTCACTACTCAGTCGTAATTGATTTAGCGAGACAAGCTCGCTAACCATTACGCCACAGTGAAGCGTCCCCTCTTGCCTTTAATATGCCCTGTGAGTGACAAATTTTCTAAGCCCTCTTTCGTCATTATGAAACTTCAACTGTCTTTTTCTGATTCTGAGCACGTGTCTTTTCTGTTTCTCTTTTCCTTCCTCGTTGTTCGTGTGAGCTGTCCATAGTATCCTCAGCATCCTTCTGTAGAACCACATTTCTGTTGCTTAAAGTTTCATTTTAATCTGTGAGGAAACTGTCCATCATTCACTGCCTTAGAGGGGTATTAATATTATATAGCAGTTCGACACTCTTTTATTTGTTTCCTACGACTTTTTCATTTTTTAAAAATATTTCCTTTAGCGTTTCGAAGGCATCTTCAGCTATTCCAATGCGTGGGTTTTTGCGCCACGTTATTCGTCGTCTGTTAAAGAATTTCCCAGATAGTTACATTTCTGTATTTGATTGATTTTGACATTTCATATTCGTAACTCGCACCTTGTACTGTTCCTCTTCCTAACAAGGTTTATGTTTTCTTACAATTTCTTTCCGTTTTCATTAACCAGTTTTTTTTTTCTGTCTGCCATCGGCACCGTGTCATCTGCTTATCATACGTTAAGATTGTGCTCAGCGATAATGCGTACTGATAGTAGAAGATGAGAGAATAAAAAAATGACCCATCAATGGTTGATGTGACGAGCACAGGAACGAATGCACTTTTGACAGCATTAGACTCCTGTCAAGAAAGGTATAGACGAATTTAATGAATCAGATTATGTCTCTTTTCTTTATAAAGTCGGACTAAAATAGAAATTCCTGATCGATTATTCTCGTCTGAAATTGCAGGCGCATTCTTCTGGATTTTGACATTTTCTTACTGAATGTCAAGTTCGAGTCATGAAACGTTAAAATGGTTGGACCAATGGCGAAAGGAAACTTCCCTAAATAAAAAATAAAAAGCTCCTAATAAAAATGCACCTAAAATTTCTTTAGATTTAACTGTATTTGTATGTTTAACGGCGCATCAACTCCTTATGGGTTTGCTTAATGCCGAAGTTTAATTTTGAGTGGAGCTTTCAAGTCACAAATATATACATATTATTCTGCTTTCGCAATTGAATACATGGTAGATAATACTCAACTTTTGTGTATGCACATGTGGGGTGATAGGTGTGTTTTATGCTGTAGTTTTATTGAAGTTATATTTTGGAATACAGTTTGATTTCTTTAAGAAATTGTAAGAAATTTTGTAGATTAGTACCATGAAAGTTCTTTTATGTTGGTTACTTGATTTTGTTTAGTGGCATATCAAATTCTAGCAGTTATTTAATGCCTAAATCTAAATATTTTGAATATGGTTTCAACCAAATATGTATTAAACATAATTGTATGCCTTCAATTATAGATAAAATGCATTGTTGGTCATTCTATAAAATTGTATTTTTATACTTTCATAGTGTTTTGTTTCTGTTATCACTATTTAACCCAAAGCTGGGACCCTAACAGGTGCTACCACTCCGAGTCAGGGTGAACCTGGGAACACCAGCAATTAAGTGGTGGTTTCACGTTCCCCCAAAACTCTAATCTGTATATTTCATATTATATATCTAAATAAATAAACTTCAAATTTTGTCTGTCGTCCAGTGTGCCTGAAACCCTCTAATTCGGGCCTCACTTGCTCTACATAGACATATTATACCTTTTTTGAATCAGGATCAACCCGGGATTGAAGATCTGCCCTTTATTTGATGCTTGAACCTTTTTAGAATCAAGATCAGCCCGGGATTGAAGATCTGCCCTTTATATGATGCTTGAACCTTTTTAGAATCAAGATCAGCCCGGGATTGAAGATCTGCACTTTATATGATGCTTGAACCTTTTTAGAATCAAGATCAGCCCGGGATTGAAGATCTGCCCTTTATTTGATGCTTGAACCTTTTTAGAATCAAGATCAGCCCGGGATTGAAGATCTGCCCTTTATATGATGCTTGAACCTTTTTAGAATCAAGATCAGCCCGGGATTGAAGATCTGCACTTTATATGATGCTTGAACCTTTTTAGAATCAAGATCAGCCCGGGATTGAAGATCTGCCCTTTATATGATGCTTGAACCTTTTTTGAATCAGGATCAGACCGGGATTGAAGATCTGCCCTTTATTTGATGCTTGAACCTTTTTTGAATCAGGATCAGCCCGGGATTGAAGATCTGCCCTTTATATGATGCTTGAACATCCCCAGCATTGAAGTTTGTATCCGGATGAGGAGGGGACAATTAAAAATTCAAATGTTAAAATCACTGAAAAAAATCTTTTTAAAAGTTTTTAATTTTAATTTTCTTGAGTTTAAAGTAACAAAAACACTTTGTGAATTAATAATCTTTTGTTTTAAATTCAGTTTAAAATATTTCCAAAATTTTGTAAACTGAGGAAATCAATTCTATTCCTTCAAAATGCCAAGGAATCGTAAGTTACAGTGAGATTTTTCGTGACGTGAGGTTTTCAAGTTCCTCCGGGTTTGTGCTTTGAAGAACTCAATTTTCGGCCGGAATTAATGTCTAGGCCCAAATCGAAGTTTCGGCCGAAAATCGGTCTTTTATCAGGAATTGGACTCATAGCCCGAATCAGAGTTAAAGGGAGGTTTTGAAGTCCCATTGAGTGAATTGAGGAATTCAAAAATATTTCTCCAAAATTATCAATGTTGTTTACTAAGCTGGAACAGAGGTCCCTTTAGTTTTGAGCCGGAGACCCAATAAGCCCTCTGCAGAAGCTAGTTTAAATGTCTGCACTCAGGAGATCGGCTTTTAAGCTAGTTCTAAGTTTTCACAGTTTTGTTCATTCGATTTGTAGGTCTTATAATTTGACACTTTTTGAAATTCTTTTTTTTAGAAACATTGGAATCCTGTGGGCAAGTCATATAAATTAATTAGTAGATTCATTTATTGAAATCTTTTATGACTGTGTCTGGTCTATTTGCATCGATTTTCTTGTTTGTGAGGATTATTATTATTATTTTGATTATTTTTATTTTCTTTGATTTCTGGCGTTTACACATTTCTTTCCGGGTCCCGCCCAGGGACCTAATGACACTTTCCACTGACAAGAAAAAAAAAAAAAGAATATTACATAGATAAAGCCTTTCGTAAAGTGTGGGCTGTACTTGTCCGAACAATTTTTAGTATCTCTTCGAGGCATGGACTTCCAGGAATCCCTTCAATTAGTCTACTGCAATCTTTTCCAACCAGTTCTAGGGCTCCAACTATAACAGGGATTGTTGATGTTCCCATATGCCACATTTTCGAGATTTATTATTATTATTATTATTATTATTATTATTATTCCTTTGCTTTCTGGGGTGTTCTCATTTCTTTCCGGATCCCGACCAGAGACCTAAGGTCAGAAA